TCCAGAGAGCATTGAAATCTGTTGTGACGATTTAGATTCGCCACACTCCCGAGTCAAACTATTGAATCAGAGTATTAGTACACAAACAATGGATATGAGCGAAATATAAGATATATAACATAAATATAACATAAATAAATAATAAATAAAAATTGCTCACCTTTTCTTAAAATCATTAATTCATCATTGTCCGAATTGATGAACAGCCTCGTACCATTGAATGAATTAGAAAGAAATGGTCTTTCTGAAACAATCAAATGAAACAAGTTAACACAACATTCCTTGAAAGAACTATACATATAATGAAACAGACTAACCTTTGTAAATTTTGACCATTGCGAATTGAATAACAAGAACAACAATCCCCTTGTCCTTGTTTGTAGAAACATAATTATTCAATTCCTCAGCGAAGGAATCCCAAAATATAACTTGTATTTTAACTCCCCTACATAAATTGTAAGAAAAGAATTATATAGTTTCTGAAGATCATTGTAGTAAATTAAAGTGAAATACTTATCCCAAATCCTTCATCTCAAGTTGCATTCTTCTTTTGCCTTTTCCATTGCTATYTGGAAGAGTCATCATTGTCTCACAAGCAATAACCTCCCCAATTACATCTATGTAATGATAAAAAAAGTTAACATGACAACATCTAACTTCAATAAGTGTAAAATATATAATTTATTTAAACAATACAATCAATGTAAAAGCATTTAATTTACTCACCAACTGCTGTATGTTCTGGGATACTTTTGGGTTTAATGTTTTCAAAGTTGACAAATGAAAAACCAAAAATGGAACCCTTAAAATCCCGGCAATTCGAAACAGAAGTCTTGTAATACAAATGTAACTTGTTTGTATTGTCGATTAACTTGTACTTCGTTGCATATCGAGCAATTGTAGGATTCTTAATAAAAACTGCAGCCCCTTCTTGAAGTAAGTTCCTGAACTTAGGAACCCATTTCTGCAGGACATTTGCCTGTATTTTGTTGCCCTAAGAACATAAAAATGAAAAATCAATGAGCACTGATGATGTGAAGATCTTAGGCAATTTAGAAAATAATTCAATATCATGTTTTCAATACTAAAGCTTCAAAAAGATATAAGAATTTACCTGTTCATCCATTAATATCATTTCAATGGAGTATATTTCATCCGGGTTTTTAAACACCGGTTGCTTCCACAATCTAACAATTCGAACCTTGACAGTGAAATCATCCTTTTGTATGTCAAGATCGTCAATGAATGTAATATTATTTCCAGCCATTAATTTGTAGAAGAGAAACCATGTTTTAATTATTTAAAATATTGAAGTAAGTTAATCAAAAGAAGCTATCATACCTTACAGAAGAAAAGCAATTAGTTTTAATTGTTCTTGTTTGACTTTGAGAAAAGTTGCCAATTTGAGTAGTGAGAAGTTTGGAAATTGAATCTTAATTTAAGCACACATCCCACCATTGAAATTTCCAGATTTTATGGTGATAATAACTGACGATAACTGAAATTTTGAATTTATGAGTTTAACAATTTTTATGCAGAACCTTTTTTAAGGTCTGTATGAAGCAATGGAGTTGGGGTCTAACAATCTCCCTTAAGAGTAAGCAGGGTAGGCTCTAATTTGAATTACCAAACGAAAAATCACAACTAAGCCAGAGATTAAAAGGAACTTCTGATTTTCATTCACAATGAAAAAAGTACAATACAATTGAATGAAAATTACATTGACTTTACAAGATAGAAAAACAACTTATAAAACATAAGGTCTAAACATTTTCAAGTCTGATGAACTTCCTAAGAAGTTCACGAAACTCTAACATATTGCGAATTGACCTTAAAATGATTTTTGCCCGTTCCTTTGCTTCCGGGGAGTTGTCTCTGCTCCTGGCTAGATTATCTCTGATGTACCGCAGGGTAGAGTTTGAATACTTGTAGTTAAGCATATCTCGAAAAAAAGATTTTCTTATTTTGTGCATTTCGAAATACTACTCCAGCTTCTGGTTCCACCAACACAGTCCAAGAAGGGATGCTATTGATACCCTGCAGATTTTCATTTGGTACAACGACACTCAAATGATCCACTCCCAGATCCAGAGCTAATTGAAAATCAAACTTGCTTCTGAAGTCGAGAAGATCTGTCATCGTTTTCCTTATAGCAGAGTTCGCAACAGCGTATTTGACCCCCTAGTCCTTCTTGTGATCTGTAAAGTAAAACAGAAAGAGAAGATCCCGCGGATTCAAATTTATAAGGTCTCAATCTGTGAACCTGCAAATCTATTAAGGTCGACATAAAGGGCAGAGCTTCTATGTAGCTCTGTATGAAGCACGGAAAAACTTCTAACCGAAAACGAACAACGCACAGCAAGCATGCAGCACTGCATCATACATGCAGAGGCTTTGAAAACCTCTGAATGACTACCCTTTAAAACAATATATTTTAAAATACCCTACCAGAATTTACAAGGGAGGAAGTCCAGACTTAGAAGTCTGAAGAAAGGGTCCATAATAATAAGGACAACGTCACCGTACAACATGACGGGACAGAGGCTTTTATCAACACTTAAATGCAAAACATCTGCGTAGCTCTGTATGAAGAACGTATGCAGGGTTGGAGTGAAGACGTGGCAAGTGCAGAAACTCTATGAAGGTCAAAATGAAGGACAGAGCATCTGTGTAGCTCTGTATGAAGCACGGAAAAACTTCTAAGCGAAGACGAACAACGCAGAGCCAGCATGCAACGCTGCATCATACATGCAGAGGCTTTCTAAACCTCTGTACGACTACCTTTTAAAAGAAGATTTTTTTTAAAATAACCTACCAAAATTTATAACGGAGTAAGTCCAGACTTAGGAGTCTGAAGGAAGGGTCCAAATTAATAAGGACTACCTCGCCGTACAACATGACGATACAGAGACCTTTATCAACACTTAAGTGCAGAGCATTTGCGTAGCTATGTATGAAGAATGTATGCAGGGTTGGAGTGAAGACGTCGCAAGTACAGAAACTCTATGAAGGTCTACATGAAGGACAAAGCGTCTATGTAGCTCTGTATGAAGCACGGGAAAACTTCTAAGCGAAGACGAACAACGCAGAGCCAGYATGCAGCGCTGCATCATACATGCAGAGGCTTTCTAAACCTCTGTACGACTACCTTTTAAAAGAAGATTTTTTTTTAAAATAACCTACCAGAATTTACAACGGAGGAAGTCCAGACTTAGGAGTCTGAATGAAGGGTCCAGAATAATAAGGACAACCTTACCGTACAACATGACGAGACAGAGGCCTTTATCAACACTTAAGTGCAGAGCATCTGCGTAGCTCTGTATGAAGAACGTATGCAGGGTTGGAGTGAAGACGTGGCAAGTGCAAAAACTCTATGAAGGTCTACATGAAGGACAGAGCGTATGTGTAGTTCTGTATGAAGCACGAGAAAACTTCTAAGTGAAGACGAACAACGCAGAGCTAGCATGCAGCGCTGCATCATACATGCAGAGGCTTTCTAAACCTCTGTACGACTACCTTTTAAAAGAAGATTTTTTTTAAAATAACCTACCAGAATTTACAACGGAGGAAGTCCAAACTTAGGAGTCTGAAGGAAGGATCCAGAATAACAAGGACAACCTCACTGTACAACATGACGAGACAGAGGCCTTTATCAACACTTAAGTGCAGAGCATCTACGTAGCTCTGTATGAAGAACGTATGCAGGGTTGGAGTGAAGACGTGGCAAGTGCAGAAACTCTATGAAGGTCTACATAAAGGACATAACATCTGTGTAGCTCTGTATGAAACACGGGAAAACTTCTAAGCGAAGACGAACAACGCAGAGCCAGCATGCAGCGCTGCATCATACATGCAGAGGCTTTCTAAACCTTTGTACGACTACCTTTTAAAAGAAGATTTTTTTAAAATAACCTACCAGAATTTACAACGGAGGACGTCCGGACTTATTAGTCTGAAGGAAGGGTCTAGAATTGTAACACCCCATATCCACACATTGTATATAACACATATTTCATATATAGAATACATGTTTTCCCCACATAGGTCCTTGATACAAGAGTATAATATAAAATACACAACCCAAAAATTCCAA